ACAGAGTGGCGCAGGCTGTTTTCTGGACATTCTGCCCCTCACAGAAGGCGCCCCCGTTGAGAGGTGCCGGGTTGGTGCAGCTCCGGCTCCGTTTCTGCCAGCCACGCCCACAGCTGGCGCTGCAGACGGACCACTCAGTCCACGTCGACCACCCACCGTTCACTGGCCGGACAGAGAAGGACTGGGGTCAGGGAGCGGGGGCATCCTCAGACACGCTGGTCCGAGGGACGGGGCAGGAGGGAGAGGCCCTGTGCGCTGGGAGTGCGGCTGCTGTGCTGGACGGGTGCTGAGGAGGGCCTCGAGGCCGGGCAGCTCCTTCAGTGTCGGGCACGCAGGCTACACTGTGGCTCACAGGGCACCTCCAGCTGGAGCCCAGCTTCTCAGGGCAGATCCTCTACGACCTCCCTCTGCCTGCTCTCGGGGCTCCCAGATTGTGTGGCCACTCCCCGCTCGCTCCGAGGCCCGAGGCACACAAGGATGGCGGGCTGTGCTCCTCTGAGCCCCATCTTGTCTCTTCAGCTCTCACCCTGTGCTCCCCACGCACGCATGGCCAACACCTGTCCCATCCCTTCGCCCACACACACCTCTGGCCTCTTTCCTAGTCAGGACACTGTGTGGTCAGCCTGGCCCTTGCTCCATGCCTTCCCATCCTACGAGGCACACACCGCTTCCCTGACGGCACCTCAGTACCCTCTGACCGGGGAGCCCGGGACCCACCATAAACAACCACAGCAGCGGAGGCACTGCGGCGACGCGCCACGATGTTCTTGGCCACGCAAGTGTAGTTGGCCGTGTCGGCCAGGCGGGCCTGCCGCACCACTAGGCTGTGCTCCCGCGTGATGTACACGTTGGGATCGAGGGAGGGGTCCACAAGGTCCTCGTTCCGGAGCCACTCCACCTAGGGGGGGACGCCATGCCACTACACAGCTGGCCCAGGCTGGCCTGACCAGGGGACAGAGCCACCGCTGAGGAGGTGGCAGCCAGGGGCCTGAGCGTTAGGTGGGGCAGGAGGTCTGGGGGCCCTGTGCCCCTGCAGAGTGGGTCCTGCAGCCCCACTCACCTCAGCCGGGGGGATGCCTTCTGGGGGACGACAAGGCAGCACAATGCCCTGCTCCAGTGAGACTTCCTTGGCCAGTGGCTCCTGCTCAAAGTTCTTGCGCAGATCTGGAGGAAGAAGTGTCCTTAGGTGTTCAGCTTAGCCCGACTGGCTCTTGGCCCTTGACCGTGCAAGAACCATGATACACGGCAGAAGAGGAGCCAAGTGCACCGGGGGACCCGGGAGGATTTACGTCCCCAGGGACTTCCTCCACCCACCAAGGTAAGGCTGTGACCTCCAGGGAGTCTGCGGTCCCTTCTCCAGGGGACACCCGCTAACGACCACCCCCTCACAGCACAGGCCTGGCTCGTACTCACAGGCGATCCGGATGTAGGCCTTCTGACTTTTGGTGGTGCCGGAGGAGCTCCACGCTACACACTGGCACCAGTATTCCTCCAGCCCGAACACTTTCTCCACCTGCTGCCTTGATACATTGATACGGACCTCCATGGTTGGCAGCCCTGCTGGATTCAAGGGCTGCACTGAGTGTCCCTGTCCTAGACCACTGATGCCCTACAGCAGCCTGTGGACACTGTGCCCCCCCCAGCCTGGAGGGAACTCCAGGGTGACTGAAAGGAATGCTGACACATCTCCTGGACACGAGGAAGTATGGTTTCTAGAACTTCCATTCCAGGTTCCGGCCTCCAGGAGCCCCTGAGAAGAAGGGTGAAGCAGACAGGCTGAGCTCTTTGGAGGTAGAGGAGGGTAGGGAAGTCTGCTAAGCTCCCTGGAGGGCTAGCAGGTAGATCTGACAAGTGATAATGTAACAGCTATTATCATTACAGCTGCGAGGCAGGATGGAAATAGACTCCCGGGACTCAGGGTTTCCCTCATGCCAGGGTGGTATCTCACTCATGCTGCTCCCTTCCCTGGAACCGTTCCTACTCTGGGTGTGCTCCATGGGGCGGCCCCACTCTGGATAGAGAAGCAGGTGCAGAGAACACCCGGTTTGTCACCAGCACCAGGGTGGTCTGGATCCAGTGCGGTCAATATTCTGCAGACACCCGGGGTGGCCTAAGTGTGCTCATCCAGGGCCAGCAAGTGGGGGCTAAGGGGGCTGGTGGTCGGGGGCGTCTGGGTGTGCTGAGAGAAACCCATCTCCCACCCTACTCAGTCCCTGCCTTCTGCAGCATCCAGAACCAGGCAGTGGGGTGCTCGGGGGAGGAACCCTGGTCTCTCTGACAACCCGGAATAGGGGATGCCATCCAACTCCATGCCTCTTCTGCAGCCAAAACCACTGTCCCAGGAGTGAGAAAAGACTGTTTGTTTCCAATTTCTCCTCCTCGTGACCCCAATTTCCCTTGGGTCACTGGCTTATCAGAAAGAGAGAGAGAGGCCAGCCGCCAATGTGTTTCCATTGTTAACAGAGAAATTCAATTAGGGTTGCATTTCAGGAGCAGTGAGCCCAGCTGAGCCAGCCAGCCTGGGAGACTGTTTTCCTTCTTCATTTCTCCAACATGTCCTCCTGACCCCTTCCCAGACCCTCCTCATGGAGCCTCTCCAGCTACAGCGCCGGGACCCAGCTGTTCCCATCATCGCCCCATCCTGGCTAGTTGTTACAGGTGTGCATGTCTACAGCCGCCTGGCTGGGATGACGACTACGCGACTGGACACTTTCTCCTGCTGTCCCTGCTCTCTTGGGTGTAGGGCTGGGTGGGGCTAAGAACCAAGGCACCCTTCACAGGGCCTGGGTGCAGGAGGCGAGCCCTGGGCATCAGCTATCCGTCAAGCACTCATAAATGTGGGGCCTCTGAGACCAAGGCGTGGGTGGAGCAGGGGCTTTCTCCTTTCTTCCTGTCTCAGGGTCAGGGATGGACAAACTCCAGAACATCCTGGCCTGGGGTACTGAGTGTCCTCTGGGTAGACAAGCCTCCTGATAGCCCCCAAGCCCCAGACTTCCTCGTCTTGGGGCTTAGCTCGGAAGGAGCAGCACTAAACTGAAGCATTGTCTCTCTTTACCTCCTGTCCTCCTCCTTCATCCCCCTCCCCACATCTCCCTGCTGGTACAGGGTGCGCGCGGACCCTCGGGGCCTGCAGGATGGGAGTGGCGAGCAGCAGGTATGGTGGGCCGAGCTGGCACACGGTAGGGAGGAACCCCGCCTCTGTGAACTCGGGTGGCAGAGGATGGGTGTCCTCTCTGTGGCCCAGAAGACACGGTGGGAGCACTTTGGGGGTCCTGGACAGGTCAGGATCAAGGCCTCAGTCTTCTCTGAGAGGCAGCCTGCTTTTGAGGACTAGGTCACGCCGTGTGAATCTGGGGCTCTTCAGCTTGCATTCACAATAGCAAGTGCTCCCAACTGTTCTCCGGGCCACCGCCTCACCATCTGCCCTGTGCGATCCTCCCACAGCACAAGTCTGACTGCAGTTTTCCTGACATCTGCTTGCACCCAAGCCCGAGCCATGCTCCAGGGCCGGTGTTCTGTCTCTCACCCTATCCCTCTGGACAGGGCGACACTCCTATGTCCTTCTAAACTTGGACGCTATCCCTCCTCTTGAAGTCAGGGCAGCTACCACCCACTCCTGCTTCCCCACGGCACAGGCCACACTCTGGGTCACCTTTCTGAAACTTTCTTGTCTCCCGTTAGCATCTGTATAAATCCCGGCACTGCCTGCCTGCCTGGATGGCGCTGTTGCTCACCCTCATGCTGGTGGCTATGCGTCCCAAATGGGCTGTATACTGGGGTGTGAGCTGCATCTCAGGCTGGCTGCGGTCGTGGTGCAAAGAGGTACACGACTAAACCAATAGGCTCGATGTGTATTAGTGGCTGCTAGTATTGGTGTTAGTTATGTGAGTGTGAGTGTGGCTGCCTCTGTGACCCTGCTTTGGGGAGTACTGGAAGCCATTCAGGGCTGTCTACCATGACCGCTTGCCCAGCCTCAGGCCAAGGCTTGCAATGGGGAGTTGGTACCCCACAGGAGGGTAGGTACTCCTTGGTTTTGACCTCTCTGCCCCTTTCAGCTGGGTCTCCTTGGGTCTGCTTCTCCCGTTGGCCTCCACACTGTGTCACCCATAGCTCTGGCCACGTCACTGTGTAGTCTGAAGTCCCATAGGCCGGTGGCACTCCTTGGGCATCCCTGCTTACACCCATGCATCTCCATTGTTGAGCCGTGACCAGTGAGCCTGGACTTTGTTTGGGCTACGCCCCAGTCAGGGGTATTGTCTCCCGCTTCTCTCTCTGGTCATTTCCTAGTTCTCCATCATTAAGCCTCCCCCGAGGAGCATGTCTGTGAGCCCCGAGGCAGCCTCAGCTCTGCTCTCCTCTTACTAAGAAGTCACCCCACTGTCTGCCTCTCTTGAGGGATCGTGAAATAACACAAGCATGCTTCAGCAGAGAGCAGAAAACAACCAGAAAACACACTCTTCTGCGGAGTCTGCGCATTTCCACCCCGTTCCTTCCCAGCCTCCTCTGGGCAGGCTGTCCTGATTTTGTGTACTGCTGAGAGACCCCGGGGCATTTCAGTGGATGGGGGTGTGTGGGCCTTCCCTCTTGCGTCCCAAGCTGATGGCCAGGGAGTCTCCCAGAGAAGACCTGTGTGTATTCACAGAGTGCCAGGTGTGGGATTCTGCCGTCCCTGGTGACGCAGATTGAACCGGCCAGGAGACGGCCGCACCTGGTCCTGTTGCCTGCAGGTGCTCCCAGCCCCTCGGGCCAGCTGCCTCCCTCCGGTGAGCGCATCTGGGACTCACCACTGCTGCCATCAGTGCTGCGCTCGGTCACGTGATCCACCTGCCGCACCCACTCCCCATTGCACTTGAAGAAGATCTGGGTGGCGGGCACAGCCTTGCACACCAGCAGCACGGGCTTGTTCTTGACGATGTACACGTCCTCGGGCTCCACCAGGAAGTGGGGAAGCAGGTCTGGGCTGGCACCAGGCGCTGGACTGGCCACCGTGGCACTCTGCTGGGCACCTGCAGGAGGAAGGGCGGAGGTAAGCCGGGGCTTCCGAGACGGGCAGAGGCAGCTGGCATAGCAAAAGGCCGGCTTTGGGCGGGGCCCAGGAATAACAAGTGCGGTTGAGCCACTGGACATTCTTTCTGAGCCTGTCCTCATCTCCAAGTCAGCATAAGAAAGGACACACGGCTTTCTGAAGACGAGGGTGGAGCAGTGAGGCTAAGACAGATTCTGGCTCTCAGGAAGCTGTGGACGTAGGACAGCAATGAGGAGCCTCCGTATTCTCCTAGAAGTGTTGGGATTTGGCCCAGCAGGCCCTCGTCCCAGTAGATCTAGGTGAGGGGGGGGGAGGGCCCCGGCACTTAAGATAGGTGCCATTAAGTACAAGACGAGTGGGAGGCGGGGCATGTGCCCAGAATGTAATCTTGAGCAGCAACAAGCGGGGTGCTGGGTGGACTTACAGTACGGAAGACTGGGGAGGGGTGGGGTGGGGGAGGGCTGGTGAGGCATGATGGGCAGGCATGTCAGGGTGGCCGCCAAGAGTCTTCCTGGAACTTCTAGGACCTGAGCCACTCCCCGTCCATTCAAGAAGACCTGAATATGGGCTTCCTTCTCATTTTAACGCAAACCTAGCGCCATCCCACAAGCCATTCGTTACTCATTTACACAGGTCATTGGCTCCAGGGCACTGGTGGAGGTAAAACCCCCAGAGCAGTCCGATGTGTCTGTCTACCAGCAGGACACCTGAAAGGGTGGGGAAATGCTCACCAGTGCCCCCTGCTGGCCCGGCCAACCCTCAAGGCTGCAGCAGCTCCCACTGACACACAGATTAATAGCAGCCTCTGGGTGTAAAAGTCCCCAGGAAGTACGTTCTGCTCCCCGGTACTGGTGACCTCGGGAGGCTGGGTGAAGTCACCGGCTCTGCATCTGTGGCATGGGGTCACTCCAGTGGCTCATGGGGACTCTGGAGTGCGTCCCTGAGGCTGGCTGCTCTGAGCTGTCCCTCCTCCAGACCCCACTCCTCCGCTGAGGTCTTCCTTTCCCCTGCCGCACACCTGCTCTTCCCTCCCGTGACTGTTTCTGCAGCCACCTCCCCACAACTCTGCAACAGACGCCAAGCACAGGAGCAGTCAGTGAACACAGGGCTGCCCTTCCCAGACCACCCTGTCAGGTTCAGGAACGCGCGAGACAGTTGGAGGCGAATCCAGACTTTTCACTGCCCAGCAGAAGCCCCTCCCCCTAGGGCCCCAGCTCTGGCCCTGCCCTCAGGAAGTGCTCAGGGGGACCCTAAGACCCACTCACTCTGAGTGTGTGTGTGTGTGGGAGGGTGCTGGGGGTTGAACCTAGGGCACCGAGCTTGCTAAGCGCATGTGCTCCACGGCTAAGCTCCACCCACAGCCTTCAGGCCCAGGGAATGCTTCAAGTCTGAGTCTGGCTCACAGATGCATCTTAGGGCTCGTGCAGACTTCTGAGGTCTGGAGAGTGAGGGGGAGCTGCGGGGCGGGGGCAGGAGGCAGTTCTAGAGTGTTGGTGTAAGATGAGTCCTGGTAGGCACGGCAGCCTCTTAAGACATGAGCCGGGACAAGTCATAGCATCTCCGTAGTCCCCAGGACGGCACACATGAATGGCCAAGCCAGCCCCGAGGCAGGGCCCTGGAAGGAGCCCCACAGTTCTTCAGGGCACGTCTCAGTCTGCTTCTGCCTCCCCTCAACTGGCAGAGGCTCAGCATCATACCCGTGCCTGTCTCCGCTCAGGGCTGGATGGGTGCGGGCCCCCTGCGGCGTGTGAGGCAGAGTGGGTGCTCAGGCCTTCCGCCTCCCTATCGATCAGCGCAGCAAGCCCTACTCACGTCAGCCGCCCGTTGAACCCAGCACAATCCCTCATGTCTGCATTTAACTGCTAATGAAAAATAAATGTACTGTGACCAATAAGGGACATAGCTCACTTCTCCAGGGCCTCCGTCACGCCACTCTGCTGTGGCCTCCCTCCCACTTCTGGGGTGAGGGTATGTCTCAGGAGGCCCCAGGGGTACCTCCCAGGCTGTAGCCCTGTCCTCTATCAAGGACACTTATGGGTGAGTAGTAAATTTGGGTCATATCCTTAGGGACAGCAGGGTGCTGTCTGGGTGGTCAGATCTGGCCCCTGTGGCGGGCAGCTGCACACTCTCCCTGTCCACACGTTCCGGAGAGTTCTCTCATCTGAACTACACGCATGCAGCATGGAGAGCCTCAGGCCCGTCACAGTGTGAGCCACTACTCTGTGTTTCCATATGAACCCTCCACTAAGGGTGGGACCCAGCAGTACGAACTCAGACCCAAATGACCTAGGACCCTGGTATGGAGCACCCGAGTTCTCTGGCTGGCCCAGACCTCCCCTTCCCAACTGCCTCAGCCGGACCCTCTGGCTCCACTCTGGCTGTTTGCCTGGCTTGAAGGGGGGTCTCAGGATGGGCCAAGGCTGGCATCCCTGAACATTCCACTCTGGCATCTGACACGCCTCCATCTGGCTGCAGAAGGCCTACTCTTGGGCACTGACTCCCCACCTCCCATGCCCATCTCAGCCTGAAAACTGCACATCTGACGCTCTACACGCAGGGCCTGTCTCCACCACCATGGCAGCTCTCGCCATAGGAGATACAGGCGGGTGGTCAAGACTCTTGTCCCCGCAACTTATCCCCAGTCCTGGTCCCTGCTGTCTGTCTCAATGCTACTTAGTATACCTGCTCATAGTGCAGACCAGGCATGGATGCCAACTGCTCTCACCCCCAGGCTGCTGAGGGCCAACCACAGGTGGAACCTGCCAGGGCACAGTGGGACTTCAGGTGGCCCCTGACGCTGCATGGGGGCAGACACGAGCAGGGCTGGCTGCCACATCTGGAAGTCCACTCAGCCTAGCTCCCTAGGGGCTTCTCCCAATGCGCCCACCTGGGTCCTCCGACCCACACAGGATGAGGCCCAGCAGCCGTCTAGGGGTGGCTGTGAGGCTGTGGTCACCAGGGATTGCAGACTGGGTGTGCAGATGACTTGGCCCTGAAGGACGAGAGGCCCGTCTCTCTCAGGAGAGCTCTCACTTTGTTGGAAGGTGGCATTCCTGTCCACGCTGCTTCCAGCAAGACAGGGGCAACACCCTAGCAGTCCCCTCTCCCCATGTCTTCCTGGGGATGAGGGACGAGCACGTGTGTCTACATGCATGTACAAGTGCGCATACATAGAGGCAGGTGGGGGCCTGAGGGTGGTAGCTACATGTGGAAGAAAACTAGATGAGGTCCCAGGGCCAGCGGCACAAGCAGACAAGAGTCCTGGGTAAGGGGCCTTGCTGCCTCTTCTGTGACCTGAAATGTACACTTGCATTTAGCATACCCAAATTGAGTGCCTGCTGCATGCCGGAGGCCATCCCAGGCTTGGGGACACGGCAGGAGCAGGCAAGAGTCCTCGCCCAGAGGCCTGGGGGAACAAAATCCGGCTCAAGCACTGCCCATACTGGCAGGGGTGTGGGAGGGCAGGGGAGTGACCAGAAAGATGGGGTGACAGGAACCCAGAGGGAAGCAGGCCTCGGGAGGGGACTTTGAGTGGTGTCCCAAATGCCATGGCCAGGCTAGAGTGCTTAGGGTTAAAAAGGGAAGAGCGAGGTCGCAAAGCGGCTGGGCTTGTTTGAGACCAGTGGTCAGAGCAGAAGGATCGGAGGTGTGTGTGTGTGTGTGTGTGTGTGTGTGTGTGTGTGTGTGTGTGTACACCGCAGAGTTGCAGAGGAAACAGGACTTTAGGACCCAGGAGGAACTTGGGGCTTCACTGTCCAGTCTCTGGGAAGACTTCCTGGGCCAGGACATTGTCTTGTGGGAGGGTCTCGGGAGCGGGTGGGCATCCATGGAATGTGGTGCCTGGCCCATTGGGTCCACCTGGGAAGGACCAGGGCAGGAACCTGCTCCTGTGAGGTCTCAGATCCACATACTCACTGTGATTAGTTTAATGGTCAACTTTCCACAATTCAGAGTCTCAATGAGGGACCGTCTAGATAAGGTCATCGGCAGGCACGTCTGTGGGGACTGTCTAGATAAGGCTGTCCGTGGGCATGTCTTTGGGGGCTGTCTAGATGATAAGGTTGTCTACAGGCATGTCTGCGGGGACGTCTATATAAGGTTGTCTACAGGCATGTCTATGGGGGCTGTCTATATAAGGTTGTCTACAGGCACGTTTGCGGGGCTGTCTATATAAGGTTGTCTACAGGCATGTCTATGGGGGCTGTCTATATAAGGTTGTCTACAGGCACGTCTATGGGGCTGTCTAGATAAGGTTGTCCATGGGTACATCTGTGGGAATCGTCTTGACTGCTTACTAACTGATGCAGGAGGATGCAGTCACTGTGGGGAGCACCATTTCCACAGCAGGGCATCCTAGCTGGGCAGGAAGCACGCATTCATGCATTTTCAGCTTGTGACTGGATGCCACGTGGTCAGCTGTTTCAAACTTCTGCCGCCTTGATTTCCTCACAATAATGAGCTGTAACCTGGGATTGTAGGCTAAAGGATCTCCTCTTCCCCAAGTTGCTTTCCGTCTTGGTATTTTTATCACAGCAGAAATGAAATTAGGGCAGTCACCCACCTGAGGATCTATCTATCCCATCCCGTAAGGCTCCTCCCAGGACACAGGCTACATGCAGCATTGTGGGGGGCTTTGACTGCACGCTGTCTCTCGTCAGACCATGATTCCTGTGGGCAGGGGCCCAGGTCTTCCTGGATGGCAGTAGAATGTTTGTTGAATGACTAGATGACCACAATTCTCCCTAAAAAATTAAAAGTCCTGCAAGGTAACCCTTCCTTCTTGGTCTAAGAGAAGATCCAGAGAGCAGGCAGAGAAGCCCACGGGCAGCTGCGGGTGGCACAGGTCTCTCACTGCAGGACGCCAGCTCTGCTCACTGCAGGAGGGACGCCAGCTCTGCTCAGGTGTGCATTGGACGTGTCTGTGTGCAGCTGAGCCCATGACTTTCCTTGCTGCTGTGGGGAGGATGAGCGCTTCCTGTGTATCTCAGAGGCGCAGGGTGGGTGTGAACATGCTTTCAGATGTTTTATTTTTAAAAGCACCACGAAAATATGAGGTGTGATTAATCAAGCTATTAATGAAGTTGCATTTACTGAGTAAGGCCTCATCCCAGCCAGCAGGGTAGGAGGGGTGGGGGCAGGATGTCACCTGGTCTCTCACAGCTGCAGCCAGAAGAGAGCTCTTTCCCCAGCACAGCCAGCCTGCTGATACTTCCTCCCGCCACGGCCACGGCCACGGCCACCGCCACCACTCCTCACAGCCTCCCTGCACCCCCCCCAGGTGGGGAGAAAACAGCCAGGGGCAAGACGGCCAGCTGCTTGTCTGTCCCCTCCGAAATGCAGACTGGGACTGGAGTGTGTGTGTCGGGGGGCTGTGTGCCATCTTTGCCTGCCCCCCCAGTCCTACATGTTGTGCTCCCCCTGCTTTGAGCTGGGGAGCCCCCCAGAAGCTTATCTGTAGATGGTGGCTCTTCACAGGGTCCTCTGGCCTGGGTGTCCCAGCTCCCTAGGCAGTATGGATGCCTAGGCAGGCAGAGAGAAATGCTTCAGGAAAATGTGCTAGGGGTTGAGCTTCCCCTGTGGCCTCACCCCAGGGGACTCCTTCTACGTCAGGTGACATCTTGACAACTTGAAACCCCTCAAGAGCCTGTGCCCATCCTGTTCCAGGCTCTGCCTCTGTCCGTCCGGCATCCTGGCTGACAGCACCTGATTCTCTTCCAAGAAAGCCAAGACTCAGCAGGTCACATGGCTGACCCTACTCCTGGTCCCTCCTGTGATCACCCGGCCTGGCTCCTGGTCCTGTGGATTCCCCCTCTGCAGAGATGGGAGTCTAAGACCTTGGCGAGGATAAGGGGACAGGTTCAGAGCTCTGGGTGGCCCTGGAGTCGCTCTGTGCCTCCCACAGCAGAGGGTCAGCCCCTCAGGCCTTGTCTGTCAGACCAGAGCCAAGCACACAGTGAGGTCTGAAGCAGCAGACTAGAGATGGCCGGAAGGGACAGGTAGACTTCTGGGCAGCGGCTGAGGCCTGGAATTGTACCAGGCCTGAGTTAAAGGTAGGACTGGTTCCTGGCCATAGGGGCCAGTTCTTTCCTTAGCTGAAGCCACCTGAATTGAGGATCCTTTGCCCACCGAGCTATGTACACATCTCCTATCTTCTGGGGGCTTCTGCCCCACCTGCTCAAGCCTGCTCAAGCTTCCCTGCGGCCAAAAATCTTTCCTGACTCCAGACAGCTGGCCACACTCCTCTGAGCTCCCAGACAACAGTCACATTGCCTGTTTTGAGTGTGTAAATGCCCCGAGAACAGTGGCTGAGTGTTTTTCACCTCCTGCCTATCTCCAGAGCCAGACCAATGTCCGACACATAGCAAGCACCCAGAGGGTGTTGAATGAATGCTGAACTCACTGCCTGGAAACGGACCAGAGCCCAGAAATAAAGGGCAGGAAGCAGACAGCGCAGGCTGTAAGAGCCAGCTCTGTTCCCCTTCCAATCAGTCAACAAATCACTGGGAAGAGAAGTGGCTTCCTCAAAAAACAGAAGTAAGCCAGTCCTGGGGAGGCGAAGGCCTTCCTCTAGGGGAGCAGTTTCCAGGCTGCTCCAGGGCGCGGTGGAGACTGCCATAGTGGTACAGGAGCCTGGGGTGGCCCGCAGACAAGCAGGGTTGGAATTCCTTAGGGCTTGAGACAGCTTCAAGAGCTCTGTCAATTATTGTTTTTTAATTCTGTCATGGAAGCTCAACTATAAAGGCCTAATATACAAGGACACATACATTCTAGGAGGAGGGGGAGGAAGTGGGGAGGTGTGGAGAGAAAACATAGGCAGAAGTGCAGGAGACATGGGTAGCAAGTCCCCTGCCCCCTGCAGGCCACAGGGCATATGAAGAGCTGTGGGGTTCC